TTTGGCGGGTGTTTGCCGGGGAGCGGGCCCGGTGCGCTGCCGCCTTCCCGCCTTTCCCTTCCCGCCGCAGGGCGCGCCGGGGTTACGACTCGAGCGTTGGAACGACTTGTTGTGGTCTTTTGTTTTGTTTTGTTCTTTTCTTTTCTTTTCTTTTCAACTCGGGCTATTCCCGCTGCAAAAGCCTGCCCCCCGGCCGTCGCGGTGGCTCAGCTTCCCAGGCAGGAAAGCCCCAGAGTAACACTTTACCGAGCTAATTCTCGCATTATGCAGCCGAGTTGGCTTGCCTGTCTTAAAAGGAGGCGAGTTTGTGGGGAAGTGAGTGGCCTTGACTTGCATCCTGGTAGCCAGAAGCATAAAATACCTGACAGTTGAACACGTGGAATGGTTCCTGGCCAAAAACGTGGTTTGCCCCTTGAAGTTTCATGTATCAAGGAGTTGAAATCTTGCTCCCCTGTGAGGTGCTTCAAATTGTGTGCTGTTTGTGCTGCACGTTGTCTTCTGTGCATGCGTGGCCTGTCACAGCAGATGCTTCTTAATATAAAAACATCCTTGGGTTCCACCCTGAGCTCCCAGAAGCACCAGGTTGGAAGGGTTGAGGTCCTTGGCTGCTGGCAGAGAGCCCACAGAACCCCGATGTTCAGCTAGCGTACCTCTGCTTGGCTTTCGTAGCTACAACCCTGGCTACTCTAAAAGACTCTGAGAAGTGAGGAAAGTCCTTGAAGATACAACTTTTGTGAAAGTGAAAAGATTCTGCCTAGCGACAAACTGAGATTTGTTTTAGAAAAGTTCCTTTACATTTTAATCTGAAAGTATTTTAATTGTACTTTCTGCTGTACAGTACTTGTAATTAGTTGAAAAACTACTGGCGATTTGTGTACATAGATATATAATTATGGGCATTTTGTAGTATGGCTACAATGAACTATTTATTTGGATTTTTTTTACAGTGATCTTTAAACTTTTTTATGCATCTGAATATCAGTGTGGTTGTAAAGCAAATCCTATTTAATTTCACTTGGTTTTTCAGTACTGACACTAGCTGTATGCCTAGGAAGGAGATATGTGTCTATTTTATTCCACTGCAGGTCTTTAGTTCCTTTGCTACCATGTAAAAGACTTCAGTGCCTCACCCTAGATTACTTCCATTCTTCTGTTTCGTAATTCTGAAGGTGTGAACAGAGTATTTTGGGAGGGAGAGGAAGAACACTGACTTCTTTTGCCAAAGAAAGCGTTAGGGACTGGAAAGGTGATGATCTGATTTCTAACTTTCTCCATGTTAATGGGGACGGCTCTAACTTCCAGATTAACTTTTAGAGTGTGTATTTCATCAATAGAAGGGTGCTTGTATTGTAAGTATAAACATTAGGTTTTGAACTGTGGAATGTTTTTTCCATGTAAAGTTTTCACTGGATATCTTTATCTCAGAAGTTAAAAATTATTTCCGAGTAGAACCTCCTATAGGTCTCTTAAGTTTTCTGGTTTTCTTCACGCATTTGAGCTAAATATTTGGGTAAGTTACACACTTGGATATTTGGAGTAGTAGCCAAATTACTTTTCATGTCAAACTGCTTGGAAGTCTGGTGGATTCCCCTCTTCCCTTCTGTAGTAGTGCTGTTTGCAGTAGGACTATTAAGTGCATTTATATGGTCTTCTCATTCTTTGAAGACTGCTTGAAACTTAGCATGGCCTGGCTTCAGGTGGAAATAAACTCAATGAGTCTGATCTCTGTCAGGCTTACCTGTATGAATTTAAAAGACATAGGTTTAGTCACCAAGGTCATGTGAGTGATTACAGAATAGTGACTAAATGATACTGAAATTCATCACTAAATTTTTCAACTAAAATTCTGATGATTGATTTTTTTTTTTCTTAAAGCTAATTATTCTAACTTAAATAATGCTAACTGCTTGTAAAGCCAGAATGGGATGCTTTATTTCTGACTAGCTGTTAATATTGCATCAGAAACCTTAAGTCTTATCTGTTTTCATGCACTTGTTATCTTCTAGACTTTTTTCTTCCTAGCTGTTGTATTTAATTTCTATATAGAGGCTCTTTGTATAGAAAGCGTACACTAGTGTATGATTATGTTTGGAAAATGTTTTGACATCCCTTTTAGTTGTGCCTTCTTTTTCATAATTGAATAACAATACGAATATTTTGACTTGAATTGTTATGAAATGAGTCATTAAAAGGAATGTGCTTCAAAAACCTGCAATTGAGCAAATAAACAATAGCAGTCCTTAAAAGTAAAGCACAGAATCCCTAATTGATGAATAGAGCTTTTTGCCTTTTTTCGTTGTTGTTTTGTTCAGATAAATTTTGATCCTTTTGAATTCTTGGTAATCCAGTTTCTCTCTAAAGATAATTTTGCTTTCAGTGATGAAAGTGGATGCAGAAATAACAGTTGCAGTTCTTCCAACAAGTCATAAAAGCAGCACTTCTCATCACTATGATGAGTGGAAGTATGGAGTCATTGTTGCAATGGGCTCCTGACAGTTCCCAAGAGTTGTTACTGGAATTGCACAACTCTTTTTTAGCACAAAGGTTTAATTTTAAAATGTGGGGTTTTGTGTGTGTGCACTGTTTATATAGCTCGGTACCTGCCTTCTCTTACAAGAGTGTCTGTATACCGTGGAGGTTAAATACACTGTGAACTTTACCTATCTGTCCATTCCATCATTGTCATGAAATACTGTTTTAAGGGATGATTTTAGAGTAACTTGCTTTTGAATTGTTCCGGGATTGTAACTCGAGATTCAGTAGAGGATAACTGGATAGTAAAAACATTTTCAAGGACTAAGAGTGAAACTGTTTGGCCTTGGCAGTTCATGAGATAGCATATTTTAAAATGTGTGTATATATTGGTTAAACGTATCTCATAGACTGTTCTAAGCTTGGATAGTTTTCAGAGGGATGTGGAGAGGGCAGAGGAGACTGACCAAGTTGTTTCAGCCTTGAGATGATTCAAGTTGTCAGACTTAAAACCAGCTGATCTTGAGACTGATCATTTGGAATTGCTCAAGAATTCGATTCCTGTGGTTTTTTAGCTTGAGCTGTTCTTAAATACATGATTGGAAGTTGGGAATGTTATTGACCTTTTTGAGTTAGAGAGTTCTCAGTCTTTTTCCAGTAAGCCAGGCTTTGAAAGAGTCTTACTGGTTTAAAAAAAGAAGGAAAAAACCTGTTGCCAACAAGCATTAGATGGATCTTAACTTGTGAGCATTGTGTTACCCTGGATATTAGCTATTAGCACTACTAAAATGCTTCAGAATTTGTAGTTTCCTAGCAGAAGTGAGGTTCCAAGGCTCCTCTAGACAGTCCCTGTAGTGCTAGGGAAAACTTTGATTTTTACAGACTGGTAGAGAACTATATACCCTGCTGTCAGCCTACAGGGGTAAAAAATTAGGAGGAACGGTTATTCCATGTACTGTGTCTTTTGCCTACCAGTTGTTAGTTCTTGCAGTATAACTTAGACTGAGTAATATCAGCATTCCAGGGACACATGTAGATTTTTGCAATAGCTTCAGAAGGTGCCTTTTTTGGTAACTTGTGGTATTTTTTCTTGACAGTTTATCCTTGTAAGCTAGAGGTAGTGTAGTGCCATTTGCTTGCCTTTTGCTGCAGGGCTTGGTGCCAGGACCTGTCAATCCTGCCACCTCCTCTTCCCTCTTCTACCTTCTCTTCCCCCAATTCATCCCTGTCCCCCCCCATCCAGGTTTGTTTTCAGCCAGCTTTGGGCTTGACTGTGAGATGGTGCTGGTGACAGGAGGGAGGAAAGAGGGGAGAATGGGACTGCAGCAGCCTGACTTAAGAAGCTGTAGGATCTCATCCTTAGGATATAGTTTTATCTTACACTAATTCCTGAAAGCAGATATCCTGCACCCTTCCAGTTCCTCCTGCCTGTTTGCCCGTTTCCTTCTCCTCTCCCCTGCATCACGTCTAACCAGTTGGGTGGGTCCCCAAGGAACTAGTCAAGCCTGTTGAGTTGATAGAAACTTTTTTTTTCCCCCTTTGGAGTGTGTATGGCCAGAGCAATTGAAAACTATCAGTAGATGGGAATGGTAGTCCTTGTGGCAGCCTGCCATTAGGTATGATTAGATGTTATATGAAACAGCTGGAGAATTCAGCCTATGCTTATATCTGGCTGCTAACCAAAATTGATATAATATAGAAGTTTATTCTACATTGAAAGAATGCTGTCTATACAGAGAATGTTCCTTAACTTGTAGCTAAGGAAAGGCATGAATATTGCAATACATAAGAGAAATGAAATTGTTTTCTAGGCAGCAATTTTTTTAATTGCATAAGTATTTTAGGCCATTAGGGTTCTTTCAACTTGTTTGACCTCTGTTCCAAAAACAGTTCTTTTAGTAATAGCTATAATAATAATATTTAGTTTTGACTTAAAATGTTAAGTTATGTTTTAAGGAGAAAATCTACTTCAGTCAAGGAGGCAACTTTTCTGTGTGAGAGAGGGTGGGTGGGTGATGTGTGACGTGCATGAGTACAAGTCACAGTGGAGTTCTAGGTGAAAGGGCCAACAGACACAGTGTGCATTATGTTACCCCAAGAAAAGCGTGGTGGATGTGTGGTTTTTATTTGCTGGTTCTACAGTGAATTAGATCATTGTGTTTTGTGTCACAACAAAAAGCTGAGATTATCAGCAGGATTTGAATCGATAAAACACATGTCACTATTTTGATAATCTTATTATTTTGTTTTTTCTCTTCTCTTTTGCTGAAAAGCATGGGAGGCACAATACCGCCCGCTCCAGCCAATGCCTCCACAGAGGAGACGAGTAAGGTGAGATATGAAGAATTTATCACTGAAAACTAACATTTGGAGTCTCTGCAAAAATTACTGAGCAGGAGAAGGGAAAAAATTGCTGTCAATTGTCACTCAGATAGGGTGGGTGAATATGCTAGGGTGAGTGAGTGTGGCAGTTCTGTCTGAAACCTGCCCTTTGCAGGATGTAGATGGCTTGTTACAGATGGCTTCCTAGTTTGTTTCAAGTGTTATCATGCTCCATTTCCCTAATCCTGAATGCCTGATGTTCTGTGCAATGCAAATGCCAAACAAAGTCTTAATTTCTTTTTTTTTGTGTTCTTGCTTTCTGTTCATACACCTCTTCTGTAGTCATTAGTGGATTAAATTATAATCTTTGCATGAGAAGAAATATTAGTGAGCATGATAAGTAATGAATTGAACAGTTGAACTATGGACTTTTTAAGGCAGTATTGTGGAAGTTTTTTGTTGGGTTTTGTTCATTTGTTTTAAGGGAGATAGTAAGTTTGGCTTGTAGATATTTATAGCAGGATTTTCCCAAGCTTGAAATTCTTTTGGAAAAAGTAGAGTTCTTTTATTATTATTATTATTATTTTTTATTTAACAATACAGTGGATGCTGGAATTACTGGCTAGTTAGAACTGTATGGAGGGATTGTGTATATGTAGTGAGTATAGTCTGTGACACTGAATATGAAGACAAGCAGATTATGTCTGTGGTAAAGCAGGACGTGCTAAGTTATGGGATTCAGAGGAAATTAGTAATGTAGTTAGAAGCTGATAAGAAAACATTGGAAAAAACATTCTAAGTATGTATAAGTGGCAAAGATCTCTGACCTTGGCAAATGGAAACAATATTTTGATCATTGACACCAGTTTATTGTTCACTGCTAAAGGACCTTAGCTTAATGGTATTAGAGTGAGAGAATTTTTGATACAGAGAATGTGTGAGGGAAGGCAGGAAGATTGGAAGGGATAGTGAGTTGCAAAACTGGTTCTGAACTGGGTATTATCTGGATTATTTGGTTTTGATTATTGAATTACACAATTTGAACGACAGGGTTTAAGAATTTGGGCAGAGGAGGAGGAGGAAAAAGAAGATTTGTATCTTGAAAATAAAACAGTTTAGCCATAGAGCAATGTGATGCTTTGAAGATTAATTTTGGATTTTCTGATACATTGTTGCTTATCAGAGTGCGAATAGAATATCAGTCAGAAATAATGTATGCTTACAAATACATTTCTCTTTCAGGGCAAAGCAGAAGAACAGCCAGAGGAGCCAGCTAAATCACCTGAACCAGAAAGCGAAGAGAGCGACTTAGGTGTGGAAAAGAGATAACTTTAATCACATTTCACCAAGTTGAACGTGGTTTTGGAAACCCTTTCTCTGTTTGTAGATGGAGCTTAATCCGGCTTTTTGTTTTTCCCCCAGAAATTGACAATGAGGGAGTGATTGAACCAGACAATGATGCCCCTCAAGAAATGGGAGATGAAAATGTAGAGGTAAGCACAATTTTTTTCAATGTCTGTGGCAGTAGGAAAGATAGGGAGAAGTTTTGAGTTTAGTCAAGGATAGCAGCTGAGGGGGAAAGAGTACTATATTAGCTAGGTAGCCAGCTGTTGCTTTGGCTCTTTTTCTCCTAAATAGAAAACTTACTGGCTTAAAACCAGTCTTTTCTTATTCAAGGTCAGAGTCCATTAAAAAGTTCAATGAAGAAAATCAGGTCAGAAAACACAAAAAAAATTTATCAGAACACCCATGAAAACTAGATATGTAGAAATCTGCCATTATTCAACTTACCTTTTGAGCATTTTCTAGCCAAAAATAGTGGTAGCTAGTGTCTGCAAGCTGAAAGCAAGGGGGTTTTTTTGTTGTTTTTCAAAAAAAAAGTTCACAGTTCAAACTGTGATTTCAGTGGAAATTAAAAACAAGATTCTGGAATCAGAAAACTGGAGCTCCCTTCTTTGGTGCTGTCTTAGCATGGTAATTCTGGCCTGGACTCTACAGGTTTTGGGTTTTGTGTGTGTTTTTTATTTTCGTTATTTTCTTAGGTAACTGAAGAGATGATGGATCAAGCTAATGAGAAGAAGATTGAAGCGATAAATGCTCTAAGTGAAGGTGATAATTTTTTTTTTTTTTAAGTACATCTTCAGGGACATTAGGTTTCGTTCTCCTTTTAAAAAAAAAAAAAGGAAGTAAATAACTTAGACCATTTTGAATGCTTTCAAGGGAGAGAAAACTCACTTCCAGTTGGATACGCAAAACTATCTAGAACTTGAAAGCTTCTTTAAGTACTGTCTTCCCATTGTAGCTATAGTTTGGGGCATGGCAGGAGGGAATGACGTATTGCAGCATCTTAGTTACAAATTGTTATAGTACTTCCCTACATGTTATGATTAGTGTCTCTAGTGGTTTGTCTTAATGCAGTGAAAAGCTGTAATAGAGAGGTGACTTCCTATTTGATTGCATACAAAGTTAAACGTACAAATTTAGCTGGGAAAAGTCTCTCCTCCCCTCCAGCATTAATTTTGGAGTTTGTACTTCAGTAACATAGCAAGAGGGAGAAATTGATTTTCCTTTGTTGATAATGTTCCATTTAAGAAGTGCCTAGGGACATAACACCCTGTAAGGCAGGTTTGGCAATTTGGATGTAATTTCATTGTGTAATGACTGGAACTTTACTGGTACTCACATTTAGGTGAACTTCAGAAGGCTGTCGACTTGTTCACAGATGCTATCAAGCTGAATCCTTGTTTGGCTATCTTGTATGCCAAGAGGGCCAGGTGAGTCATTATAAATTAGTGATTTAGGTTTCTGCCTGTTCTGTTATTTTCCTTAAGGAGCCTAAATATACTGGCAACTTGAGGATCTATGTAAACTTAAACCACAGGAGGGAATGAGAAAATTACACTTCATGCATTTTCTTTTATATGTGAATAACCAGATTTGCTGAAGCAATGTAGCAATGGCATGTTGAGTTATAATAATGCTGGATAACAAACGTGTAAAATCTGAAGTTTATTCTGGGATGAAGATGATGATTGAAATCATGTCCTGTTTAGATGCAAAGTTAATTGTGGATCATGTGAAATCTCTCCCTGTTGTACTGATAAACGAATTTGTTCACTGTGAAGTAGACTTGTTGCTGTTCAACAGTCCTATGTTTGAACAGGACACACCTATTTCTCAACCCAATCCACCTTTCTCAATCCACCTTACTGCTAATTACATCTACCAGACTGCAGATAATACATTGGGAACATTGTCGGATTTGATGTGTGATAGCCCTAACTTTGTAACGCGCAAACATATCTATCTTCCTAATTCTTGAGGAAGTCTGGCCAAGTATGGGTTGCAGAAGCAGGAGTTCCCACAGCTTAGGTTTTTTTCTCTTTTTACACAAAAACCCCACTAATCATGGATGATTTGATAGTTTAGTGGATCTTTTCCATAGCAAGGTATAATTCAAAGAAATGTTCAACTTTTGATGACTTTCATGTGATTGATTAGTGTCCTTTAACTGTTCCATTCTAGGACATCTTAACTGATACATGCCTTGCTGTTTTTTCCTTACCGTATCAATGTTTCTGCATGTAACACCAATTGTCTACCTTAATACACTGTTGGTGTTGTTGCCATCATAGTAGTATTTTTAAAACCTCTTATAGTGCTGTATCTTCTCAGGACTGCGACTAGCAATGAAAAATAAGTGTTAGGAGAAGTTTAAAAGTTACCTCAATTTGATCTATTGTAGAAATAAGCAAACAATACATTAGGATATTTTAAAACCTGCAGCGTAACAGCAGCGCTGATGAAGTGCTGTGAGTAATCCACCTTCCTGGTGGATTTGGGTTTTGGTTCTGGGGGGGTTTGTGTGTTTGGAAGACTAGAGTTTTTGTGCAGCCAGCAGCATTGGAATGTCTCTCATTGGTGAGGTGTAGCTTTGAGACAGTTTCCTGACACATTGTCTACCTGTTTGTTTCTAGAAGAGAATGTGTGGCTTTGTACTTGCTTTATAACTAGCCTTAATTATGAAGTTACTTACAGGCGCCCTAATTGCTGATAAATTGTTTTCAAGTAGATGCAAAAGGGCAGAAGTTCTGACTTGGAGTATCTTGAATATCGAATATTTCTGTCAAATCAGGAATGGTTTTTAGTGTTTCCTTCAGAGATTTTTAATTTGAAATGCCTGAACGTCCTGAAGTACTGCCCTACTAGTCAATCTGATATGCTTGTGTATTGTAAAATTTGCAGTTATTTCACTTAACTGACAAGGGATTGGGGCTACTTTCTGGGTTTGTGTTTTGTTTTGCCTCTTTTAATTTTGATTACTCATCTCCTATCTCCTTTTGTAGTTCCTGATGATTCTAGCCGTTGATCCTTGTAGCCTGTATGATAACTCATGCTTTCTTTGTCTTGCTGTTTTAAAGACTATGTAATACGGCATGCGTAGTATTATTGTTGTTTTGTTCAAATTGCTAGTTGCCATTGGCTATGGACTCCAAACACCATGGAATTGAACTGTCCTTTGCATTTATGTATCCTTTCCTTGTGCGCTAAAGTTATTCTTGCTGTCAAGGCTTGAGTCTGAACAATGAACGCTTTCGTTTCTTGCTAATGATTCACCTACAACGGCAGGGAGGAACTAAATTTCAGTGACTTCATTATCACTACAAAATCTTTTTGAACTCAGCTCTTCAAATGTATTATCTCACTAGCTTGCCTGTTAGTCATCCAAAATTATTTCCAGCTTAAGTTAGTAACTTGGTATTTCAATATGTACAATAAACGTTCTTGTTCCCACAGTGTTTTTGTGAAACTACAGAAGCCAAATGCTGCCATTAGAGATTGTGACAGAGCCATCAAGATTAATCCTGACTCGGCGCAGACCTACAAATGGAGGGGGAAAGCGCATAGGTAATGAACTGTGCCTGTACTTGTGGGGAACAGTTTTGCTTATGCATTCTCTCCTTCTCTATGTCTCTGAACTGTCTGTCTTGTACCCAAGAGCAGTAGCCGTGAGCCAAGAAACCATTGTGCTGAGTGTATGGCTTACAGGAAAGAAAGGATGATGGTGATTTATTGATGGTAATTTATGAGTAGTCCTTCTGGCACTATCTTTTTTTTCTTTTGTTTTTTTTAACCTATCTTCTAATGGCTTACTGCTGTTCTGAGTAGCATTTTCTAATTTGCTAAAGATTATGAGTTCTAGGACTGTGGGTTTTATTTGTTTGGAGGTCTTTTGTTTTCACTTAGTTCAGTTTTTATTTACTAACCTGTAATTCTTAAGCATTTCTCTGCTGCCCTTACTCCATTAGATCCTAGAGCTCTTTTACATAGTAAATTAAGCTGCCTAGTTATGTTACAGTTGAAGAGTGATATTAAGCAAACACTGTAATTATTTAAAATGGCATTAGGCCAGCATGCATCCCCCTTAGCTTAGTTAAACTTCTTTTTAATAAAATAAATCAGCCAAAAAAACCCCGAGGTGACACTTCTTACCATCTGTATAACAGTGGAAGGAGTAAATGCTAATAGAACTTAGCAAAAAAAGGCATTTTAGACAGTGTTCAGAGTAGTTTGTTAATGTCTACAGTTTTAATAAAATGGCATGGAGCCTAAGAGTGAGAAGACTGAAGCATAGTTTGGAATAACACCTCTGTCTGTAAGCAGAAGTGCTTTGACCATTTAGGAATACCACCATTCACTTAAATTTTTTATTATCAAGAGTTTGTATAAATGAATAGTTCGGAAGTGTGCACAGTAGCTTGTATGACCTCTTCAACTTAAGACGTGGTACATCTAGTTAGCTAGGATGTTTGAGTGCTGAGTAAAGAGGGTCCACAGAAGCTTGAGTAGTGGTGTAGACTTGTACAGAACACTGAATGTGTAGCTTTACACTGAACATGTGCCTAGTGGTGCACAGTATTTTTATTAGTGTGCTTCACATGTTTATGTAGGGTACCTTCTCCCTGTTAGACCTTTCTTGTTTATAGCAAACAATGACACTAGCTGATTGAGGGTTTTTTTCTTCATTGTTACTTCAGGCAAAATTTATTGTAATGGTATGAAGCAAGCAAGTATTGCCTAATGGCATTGTAGTGTGCAGGTTACAGAAAACACGATGAGACTGTTAAACTTTAAACTTCTGTAATTAAACTTCTGTAAGTCCATATAGCTGCAGGTAAAAATACTGAATGCCGTGTGGTTGTAAATATTTTGAAGAACTATAAGAATTCAGTTTGCTTTTTCCTTCTGAATGTTGGTGTCTTCTGAATTCCAGACTTCTGGGTCACTGGGAGGAGGCTGCTCGTGATCTTGCACTAGCTTGTAAACTGGATTACGATGAAGATGCTAGCGCCATGCTGAAGGAGGTGCAACCAAGAGTAAGTGGGGAGGCATAATGGAGGTCCCTCCTCTATTTTCTTGAATGAAATTGCTACCTTCAGATTCTTCCAATATGCATTGTCTTGTGGGAATCTGTTCATGTATCATCTGACAGTTCAAACTGAGTTTATAAATACTTCTGTCTTCAATCACAGCTGTTTATGGCTGTGTGTAGAGAAATTGAGTCTCTGGGGCTGGGCATGTAACTGAACTGTGAAATAATAATGTTCCTGTTTAAAATCTTAACAGAAGAATTTGAAGCAGTTGAAGTTTGCCAGGCATTTTAGAATCTAGACTAAAAACATTCAGAAGAGCAAGAGAACACTGGTAATGGATTTTTTTCTAAGATGTTTCTGAATTGATCAAAGCTTCATCCTAAACACGTTTTACAAAGGAAGCACTCTTTGCTGTAATTTGTACTTTCACTAGTCTACCCCATGAGGGCAGCATAATCTCTTTAAAACTGTTTTTCAGCTTTGCTCAAGTGATTGACCCCAGCATTATTCCAAGGAGGAACTTTTGTGTAAAAAAAATGTAAGACTGTTGATAGCAGGCTTGCTTTTTCATCTGTTTTGCATATTTCTTTAAAGTGGTTGACAGACCACAGATTGCAGCTGTTGCATTGTATTGGGTTTACGTGACAAGGTTAGGAGGAGGTGGAGACTGCAGGGATGGCCTCTTGTAAGAAGAGACATGTGACTGCCCCTGTGTCAGATGCAGCCAGTTCGAGCTGGCTCCAAAACAGACCCACTGCTGGCCAAAGCTGAGCCAGTCAGCGACGCCGGTGGTGCTTCTGTGATAACATATTTAAGAAAGGGTTGAAAAACGCAGTGCAACAGCTGTGAGAGAGAGTGGAGGAAAGAAAAAAGAGAAGCAACCCTGCAGACACCCAAGATCAGTGAAGAAGGAAGGGGAGGAGGTGTGCCAGGCACGGGAGCAGAGATTCCTCTGCAGCCCATGGAGAAGACCATGGTTAAGCAGGTTGTCCCCCTTGAGCCCACAGAGGTCCACGGTGGAGCAGATACCCACCCTGCAGGCCATGGAGTACCCCATGCCAGGGCAAGTGGATGTGCCCTGAAGGAAGCGGCAGCCCATGGAGAGTCCACACTGGAGCAGGCTCCTGGGAGAAACTGTGGCCTGTGGAAAGGAGCCCACACAGAAGCTGGTTTTCTGGCAGGAGCTGCAGCCCATGGGGGACCCATGCTGGAACAGTCTGTTGTTAAGGACCATACCCTGTGGGGAGGACCCACGCTGGAGCAGTTCTTAAAGAACCGCAGCCTGTGGGAAGGACTCACATCGGAGCAGTTTGTGAAGGACTGTATGCTGTGGGGGGGACCCCACGCTGGAACAGGAAAAAAGTGTGAGGAGGAAGGAGTGGCAGAGGTGCAGTGTTAAGAACTGACCACAGCCCCCATCCCTCTGCGCCGTTCAGGGTGGGTGGAGGAGGTGGAAGAGTGGGGAATGAAGGAGTGAAGTTGAGCTTTTAGAATAAGGGGAATAGGGGGAAGGCGATTTTAGTTTTGTCTTTGTTTCTCATCATCCTACTCTATTTTTAGTTGGTAATAAATTCAATTAATCTTCCCCGTGTTGAGTCTGTTTTGCCCATGATAGTAGTGGATGAGTGATCTCCCTTGTCTCTTATCTCCAGCCAGGAGCTTCTTCATTTTACTTTCTCTCCCTGTCCTCTTGAGGAGGGGGAGTGAGAGAACGGCTTAGTAATCATCTGGCAGCCAGCCAAGCTTAACCCACCACATGCATAAACATTCCTGTCTCTAATAACTTCAGCTTTCAGTTTTCCTACATGTCTTTGTAGAAGACACTGTCTACAGCAAAACAACAGTGGAAACCATCTTACAATCTACTGGCCTTCTGTGTTGGAGACTATTGATCTGTGGTAAATGTAATTAGGTCTTGGGTCTCAACCTTTTTTATAAGAGGTATACTTAATGCTTGGCTGAGGGGGAACCTGTTATTTCCCAGTTAATCTGCCCAGGCACAGAAAAAGCAGAGTATGTCTATGAGGCATTGATGTGTAGTTGCCAACTTTGTGGGAATTTGTGTATGTAGCTCAAGGAAAAATGTATGATCTTTTCATGGGTGATTTTTTTTTTGTCTTTAGTAAGAGAAGATGATATGTTCACCTAATTTCACTTCCAGCTTTCCTAGCACACTTTAGTTTGTAGCACTTTACGCTGAAAGTCTGAGTCAAATTCTAAAAATACTTAGTTCCTTTTCAGAAATACTTAGAAACAATGAAAATCACAACTTTGGAAACTCTTCCTGGTTCATTTTAAAAAGGAAAAAAAAAAAAAACCAAACCAAACCAAAACCCCAAACGCTTATCTCTCTCTTAATGAACTATTGAACGGCCGTAACATCAGGTGCTGATAACACATACTGCATTCAATATCAGTCAGTCCTGCTGCCTGCAGTATGCTTTCTCTGGCAGATGTACTTCAAGAGTGATGTGGTATGGAATGAATGTCTCCTAGCTAAAATAAGTTGTATAGAAACTTCACTACTTATAAAATAATTTCTTCATTTAAAGAGTATTCTGAAAGAATAGAAGAGTGTCCATCCAAGAGTGTAGTTAGTATCTCTGTTCTTGAACCTTGATTTTGCTATGTTTTTTTAGTTACAAGAGTGTTAGAGGGTAACCATCATACACAATTTGTGAAATCATGAACCATTTTTTGCAATGCTATATAAGGATACATTCTTGTTTCAGGAAAGCAGCGCTACAGTTGGTGTTCTATTGTTATAATGAGCCCTGAGTGAAGAGCCTTGGGGAGTTCATTGTTAACTACTCTCTTCTGCAGATCTGTAGATTTGGTAGACTTGAGAAAAAGCTAATAACAGGAAGCAAACTTTCTCCCCACCAGCCCTTTCTTGGTTTGGTTCAGGCATTCTTTGGTCTGCTTATGTCTAGCTGTAAGTGCTGCAAAGGCATCTGGAACAGCAATAACATTATCTAAAAAGTGTGTGCGTGCGGGGAAAATTATACTTCCTGTTGTTGTGCCAGTGAAAATTCCCTTTTATGGGGCAATTGCTGGTTTTAACCCTGGAGAAATTAATTAATATTTCAGCATAAAAACATGAAGGGACATGGAATGATAACGTGTTTAAGTTCTAACTATGGTGCAAGTCCCAGAGCTCTATAGAAAAAAGTACACTAGAGTGCATGTTCTGGTGAGTCCAGTTAGGGCCGAATAGACATGAATAACTGATTGCCATAGAGAGGAAGTAGCAAATGGTTCCTAAAACAAAAGGCCTTTTAGGATGTAAAGTCAGGTCTTATTTTTAAGAACTGGTAAAAGCAGATGGTTACACTTGCATGTATTTTATATTGAAATAAGTTGTGTGATACGCTAGAAATGTATATGAAATCTTGGTATTCTATTGTAACAGGCTCAGAAAATTGCAGAACACCGCCGAAAATACGAGCGGAAGCGTGAAGAAAAGGAAATCAAGGAAAGAATGGAAAG